AAACTGTTGGGAGCCGGTGGGAAGGAAATAGTTAAACGAGCACTTTGGCTTCTGTGGATATAATTAGCATACAGAGACGTATCAGTCTCACTGATAGGAATAATATCATGGAGGCAGAGGCAGAGTGTCATACCGGAAAGCAATTCAATGCTTAGTGTAATGCTTAAAGTACTCCTCAGTTCTCCTTGAAATGGCTTTCGCTGACTTGCTCTGTGAAGTTTCATTCAGATAAAGCTCGCCTGGAAAATTTAAGTGCGGAGGAACGTCTGCTGGAGATGTACCCTGTCTCCGAGTTGGCATCTTTCTTGCAGCTCCCTTTCTCTGGTTCTGCTCCACTGCCTGTCTGCCTGTATACCTGCCTGCCCGCCTCCTTTGCAGGCTCATTCTCTCCAAGGTGGCAGTTTACAACACGGGCTGCATAGCGATGGCGCCGCAGCCATCTGCCACCCGAACCGAACCCGAGGAGCGCCATCCCCAGCTGGTGTCCGGGGCGCTTCTGTCACCTCTGCTAATAGACCTATAAGACATGCTGAGGTCAGCTGTCATCTGTCACCTCTGGCCCTCTACGAATGCTGTGACACGAAACTAGTAATGCCTTACCGGCGAACCACAAACTTGGAAAGGTTTCAAAACTATTGGAACAATTCCTCTGGTCCAGCGTGGACGTGAGGGTGAATGTGCCACCCAGCGGTCCTCGCTGCTCTCCAGGCAGCTAAACTCAGTGTCCAGCAGCTCTCTGCCAGTCTGTCAGTTCATTACTGAGGCCTGCGTTCCATTACAAAGCAAACAAATAACCACATAGTCATTATTTATTTAAGGCCATTATCAACCTCTGTAGAACAAAGGCCGTCGAAGTAAGTACTGCTCAGCACTACTCGGTTATTAAGTGCAGATACTCAACGAAAACTTGAAAAAAAAAGGAAGACAAAATAAATTAAACACTTAATGAAAAAGGGCCTTGGCTATGAAATGACTAAACTGGAAACAGTGCAATAAAGACGTCCAACTGGCAGCGTTTGTTTGCTCATATATCGCATGTGTCTGTCACATCGCTGTGGGTCGCTTCACTCTTTCTCTCTAACTGATCTGCATATTCTCTCGTAGCGTCTGCAGCTATTCAGGACATATTAAAGTGTGCTCGACATAATGCTCGACTTGTTGTAATAGTCTGCATTTAATCATCCAACAAAGTTAAGTTCAGTTTATCATCGTTTAAGAGCGTAATCAGCTCTGCAGCTCTCCGTGGAAGCATCGCCTCTGTGTTTGACAACATCACTTCTGTCTGCATGTTTTCCAAAACTAAGAGCAAATCCTCCCACCCACCAGCGCCAGTATTTCCATCTGGTATTGGAGTCCCTGCTATGCCGTGATTAGTTCTTTTACTGGAGGAAGTCTAGTGTGGAAGAGGAAGAGCGAGGGAGGAGCGTTGGGGGCAGCGAGGGGCTGCCGCTCTCTGGCTATTGTTTGGACACAGTTTCTCTCCCATCGCATTGACCACAGACAGGGCGTGGCCCGGGGACCCGGGCAGGGGGATACTGGGGAGGGGTGGCGGCGCTGGATTCAGGGGGAGGCTTACAGCACATTGCATACTTGCTCTGCATGTGGACAGCGAGCAGGAAGGCGGGTGGTCCCCCGAGAGTGCTACAAAGAAAGAGAAAGAGCTGGAGTGAATGGGATTTTTTGCCCCTGTAGTTTGGCAGTGTGTTCCCAGCCCCGCTCATGTGCACGATGAAGTAATGAGAGACTTGGGCCTCTGACAAACTCAGGCCAGATGGGGAGAGGATACTTCTCTACAATTACTCTGCAGCAGAGAGCATTAGAGCCAGCGCAGCCGCTCCTCTACGGAGAAAAGATAATCACTTTTAGAGAATATTTAATCAACATGCACGCCTTACAGCACGCCGTACAGTTTGGAGTGCGCCTCCTCCTCCTCCTCTGTCTCTGCGTACAGCATCCTGCTCTTCTGCCACGTCTGGATAGCAGCAATAACTGAACCGCAAAGTTGGTGGAGCAGCTGATTTAGGAAGCGTTTAAAAGTGTTTAACTGGATTTTCAATGTGCACTAAAACCACTATGGAAACATATCGAGGCATTCTGTGGTGTGTTTGGCTTGTTTTTTAAGTCTCATTAACGGACAATGGTGCATTTTGGAGATAAGAGCCGTACTGCAAACAAGAAGGAAAAGAATCTAATTAACGGTGAAGATCAGAGCGGCAGCACACTCAGAAGACCTTGTCATTGCACAGGGGAAATAAACACACAGCTACAGTTGCTGGATTGATCCCAGACTGACCCCAAGTCTGGAAGTGAACTTACTCCAACTGCTAAACGCTTCCTTTTAGCCTCCACTTGCTGGTTGGCATCCAAATAACAGAACTTTAACCTCTGCTAAGCTCTGAATCTTCGCACCAAAACTCTCCTCGGGAGCTGCAGTTGACCTTTCATCTTGTACCTTTCCATCAGCGAAGCGGATATTTTAAAAGACAGCTGGTAAAAATTTTGTTCGGCCCGCAGAATTTCATCCTCCATCAAATAGCGTCTACGTCAAAACCCACCTGCGTGTCCCTCCACCTTCACCGGCTGTATCTGGTGAAAACTGATAAATTCACGCATGCATCGCTGCTCTCGCCCATCGTGTTTAACAAACTGTTTTAAAGTAGCCAGGAGTCGCCCATGCTCCCCGTGCCGAGTGACTCACTAACAGCTGCCTTATGGTTGTGTTTAAGAAAGGTTTATGGATCAGTATTGGCAGGTTCCCATGAGCGTGTGATGAGCACTTTCCCACCGACAGACTGCACGGCACTGATCTACCCCGTATAAATAATGTAATACTCCATAAGGTTAGCCCACATTGATTTCAGACGACCAAATATTTTCAGACATCTTCTGTTCCCCGAGATAAATTGAGTGCAGTCTGGATGTGTGTGTTTTTTTAGACAGATTCGGCAGCGATGCAGTCGATCAGCGTGGAAACATCCGCGTCTTTTAGGAATGTTAAACAAGGCCTAGGCATCAATGTGATGGATTAAGAGGAAGGGCCAATAATAAAAGGGTGCCATCACCCTGGCAGTGAATACATTACTGTCTGTAGCCGGAATAAAAGGAGGCAGGTCGTCCGTAACAGGCAGCCAAAGACCTTTCCACCGACTCTACTGTACTTTAGAATAACGACAAGACATAAAAACAACAACGTCGTGTACACACAGACAGAGGAATTACACAAAATGATAGCGGCGGTGAAGACGCTGGAAGTTTGGGGTGATTTATTCTCCTGTTCCTCGTTTAGTTCAGACAGAAGGACAGACAGGGCAGCGGCAGCAGCAGGCTGGAGTGCTGTGTTTATGGCCTTATTGGACGTCTGTCAGAGATGTTATTGTAGCTCCGCAGGGAGGCCAAACACAGCACAATTTCTGACATTTTGGCACAGTGTAATATATTTACAGGAAGTCAGCTCATGCATATTAAAATACCTCTGCTTTGATCCGGCGCAGGGCAGAGCCAACAAATGGGCTAACAAACAGCCGGGCCTGGGGAGGGATACACACCTAAAGAACGTTTAATCTCCATAAGCCACTGGACGCTGGTGCTGGCTCATCACAGCCCAAACCGCCTAACCCCACAGATCTCCCACACAAATCATCTTAAACTTAAAATCTTAAAAAAAAAAGCACGTCTGAGCTCAGAGGCTCTCAAACCTCTTCATGCAGCTCCTACATGTGAAGGGAGAGAGGAGGTGGAGGGGCTGTGTTTGGTTTGATCGGTCACCTGACTGCTGGCCTGGCCTCTGGGAACAGGAAATATGACATCAGCGCCCTGACATTCAGGAATGTGGGAATGTCAGGCTGCCTGTTAACACGGCTCGAACAAGACCGAGACAGAGAGCAGGCCGGATGGACACAGCCGATAGCTCGCTGCAGCCGGTTATCTTGTACCTTTTCATTAGAGCTCCTGACTGGTAAACTCCTGTGACTTCTACAGTCGCCACCTCTGAGATCGTCAAGAACTAAACAGACACTGACAGTGACCTGCTTCAAAAGCTCCCGGGCTTCCAAACGCATCCAAATCAGAAGCAGACGACTTGGTTCCTGTGGCCTCGTCACTACTCCAACCAGCAGACTTTCTGTACATGCAGGCAGTCAAACATGTAACCTCTCACGTCATCCTATATTCGTTTGCGTTGACTAATTAGTTGCTCAATAAAGTGAGTGGATCACAAGGTGAGGTTTTTACTGCTCACACATCAGGGCTGGAGGAGAGCTCGGCTCCCCCTTCACTCGTGTTCCACTCAAACACAATAAAACTTATCATTAATGAATCCAAGATGTCAGCTTCACGAACCAGAATGTCGAAAGAAGCTTTAATTAGACACAGGCGCAGTCATGCAACAACCAAATCTAAAATGGTCTCTAAGCTGCAGCAGCAAGAGAGCGATCAGAAAGTACAACACCAAGCCAGAATCTAATGTTCTGAGCCACAACCGGCGGTCCCACGAAAACCCAAGTTTGAAACTCATTCCTCATTCATCACATCTCCTTCCCGGCTAAGTGACGGTGCCATGCTGTCGCCAGCTTCCTTCAGAGACGCTGGCGTGCAGTTTCTGGGCCTAAAGCTCGGTTTCTCCTTGCAGAGCCGTTGCCAGAGCCGGGGAGGGAGCCGGAGCCAGAGCTGGAGGGAGAGCAGCCCCAGAGGAGCCCAGCTGCTGCCTGGGAAACCAAACCCTGGCCGACTCTGGCCCACGCTCTCTAACCCCAACCCCTCCCGTCTAATAACAACACTCCTCAGTCCGCCTCTTGTTCTCTTTCCTTTCACTCCGCTGCCTTTTCCGCTGTCATTCTCATGCTGAGTTTAGGGAAAAATAAGTCCGAGGAGCACCGGTGGGATGATATTAGTAACCCCGCTGCACATTCCCCGAATGCTTCCCACCGCTGATCTGCAAACAGCCACACATGTTCTCACTCTGACACACACACACACACACACACACATGGCGTGACACTCACCCCGGTAGTGAAGGCTGTCATCGTGGTGGTTGTGCTGGTGGTGGTTCTCCAAGGCAGGGGGGCTGCTGGCGCCCAGCTCTGCCAGTCTGCGGCTGGTGGCGGAGAGCTCGGAGCGCAGGTTGGTCACTTCCTGACTGGCAGACTGGATGGCCCCATCAATCCTCTGTGCCAGCTGCTTGTTGTCTTCCATCATTTTAAGGATTTTCCCCTGAGGACCAAATCCACACAGAGCAGCATGGTGTCAAGAGGAGCGCTACAGGGGGTGAAGCTGAGACCCTCCTGCACCTCCTATCCCCCTCTCCTCTTCCTCCTCCTCCTCCTCCTCCTCCTCCTGCTCCTCCACCTGTGCTTCTTCTCTCACAGTTTACTTCGCACATAAAAAGAGAAATAAAAAAAAAAAATCCCTCTTCTGCTGAGCGCTGAGCAGCACAGAGATGATGTCTACCTGTTACTGCATGGAGGATAGCGGCTGTGTGGCCGAGCAGCAGTCAGTCAGAGAGGACATGTGTGCAGGGCAAAGCAGGAAAAGAGTGAGCGGGAGGAAGGGAGGAAGCAGAGAAAGCAGAGAGAGGGAGGGAGAGAGAGAAGACAGAGGAGGAGAAGAGATGCAGCCCAGCAGGCGGAGGGGAAAGTGAATGCTCCCTCCGAGGAGAATGTGCTGTGAGCAGCTGCTCTCAGAGAGGACCCTGCACACACTGAGATGACATGCAGCCTTTTAAATGGACTGTACCATGTGCTGGAGGACCAGGGGAGCGACGGGCTGCAGTTGGACTGAGCGGCTCTCCAGCAACTCTCTAACTACTCGACGTGGTGCGTATCCCACACCCCGTGGAGTCTGTAATGAGTTAGCGATCGGGTCTGTAGGAGCGAAAAAGGCTCAGATTGTTTCTCTGTGCTTGTGTCCCCACACCCAGAGCCTGGCAGCAGCACTGAGCCCTTTGACAAGCACTTGTCAAGCCCTCTATATCTTTTCACTGCTGCTCCCACTTTCCCTTCCTCCCTCGCACTCACACTCCCGCTGCCTCTTTGTCTCTCCCGCCCCCCTCTCTGGTTTTTTTCATTCCATTATATATTCATCTCTTTGTCCTGGGAAAGCTCACCCCCGCATCGGTGGAAGGGGAAGGGGGCTGGCACAAGGCGCCCAAGGGGAAAGCATTTCAACTCTCAGAGCAAACTTAGCAGAGGACAGAGGGACGGCCCTCTAATGGGCCCAACACAAAGAGAAGAGGCCCCGAGAATTACAATCGGGCTGCGCGGAGAACACAGCAGAGCTTTACTTCTTTGATCAAAAACAGTTGGAAGGATTATATTTCAGCTTATCTGTGGGCCCAGTAAACAAACACCGCCGCCATCACTTCTTATCTGTACAGCCGTAGAATTCCATCGCACACACAAAAGGTTAAAGGACGGGAAACGTCGCTTGTAACTTAAAGCAATTTTGGGTATTGCTGAGCCATCGCCACCGAGAATCTGCATTTGACATTTTCATTTCCTAAGTTAGAAAACACATCCTGTCTGGCACGGCGCTGAGGCAGATGAGCGATACATCACTCGGATGCTGTCATCCGCGGCTCAGGTGATAACGGCTCGGCGTTCATTTGTATTCACACAATGGCGCAGAGAGACAAACAAAGGCGGGACGGCGAGCGCGCGAGATTGACAACGAAATGAGACGCTGAACTTGTTAGTGACTCTGGTGGTTTGTTCACCTCCCACCGCTGTGTGACGAGAGCGCCGTGGTTCAGACTAGCGGGCCCGGCGCCGTGGCCTTCACTGGCCGACCTTAACTCAGCTTTTATGTTCTTTACAGTCAGCGTCGGTACAATATGACAAAACACACCGCGAGACAAAAGAGACGAGAACGGGAAGATTATTGCTTTAGATGAAGATAATGCTGCACTTCAGGAAGCAGGACTGCGAGGAGACGAGACGGTAAATGATTTATCTATTAAAGCTCCAGTATGTTCATCATGACTACAGTTGATCACCTGAAACTGTAAAAGGCACATTATCAGAGCACAACAGTGAAACAGCACAGAGCTTCAGAGACCAGTGAAGCCCAGCAGCATCTCCTCCAGATCTGAAGTATGGATGAGATGATTAGTCTGTCCATAGAATCTCCACGACAGCGTTGATCAATGATTACTTAAGTCATCAACTAAACATGTCAAACACTCTGCGTCCAACTTTTAAACATAAGGATTTTTTATTGCTTTATATCTCTGTAAATGGATTATCTCTTGGATTGGCACCATTATTCTGACTTTTTATATGAATAATCAACAACAAAGTTACCGTAATGTCCAGACTATAAGCTGCTACTTTTTTCACACACATTGAACACTGCGGCTTAAACAGCAATGTGGCTAATTTACGGATTTTTATGAGTTTTACGAATTTGCAATATCTCATGTTCCAACGTGGACACCTGCAGCTTAGAGACACCTGCAGCCTGTATATGTAACACCTGGTTTTCTTTTTAAAGTTAGTGGGCGTGGCTTATATTCAGGTGTGCTCATAGTCCAGAATTTACGGTAATAGCACATTTCCTGCTCCCAGTTACAAAGTTCTCCGCGCTCATCTCTACATTTTAGCATCTTAACATGGCAGCATTTGCTAACGAGCTGAGACTGTTGGGAATGCAATGAAACATAGATTCCAAACTTCATGGCAATTAAGTTTAGCTGTTAAAATATTTGACCAAAACACAACAATGTCAGCCTGCTAGAGGAAAGGTTCAACCCCTGGAGGTCATGATGAGTTTCATACATCCATTAGAAGTAGTTTTGGACCTCGTCTCATTTAGTCCATCCTAGCGTACAGAATGGTCTGGTTACATTTCATTACCATTCTGCCAGAGGGGAAAACACTCTGGGTTGTTTGTTTGTTTGTTTAAACCAAGTTTGTTTACATGAGGTGGAGCAGAGCAAAGGATGCAGCCTTGGTGTTCCCTCATCATAGTGACAGGAGGGATAGGTTTATTTAGAACGTCTGAATGCAGGAAGGCTAGCACTGTAAAATGGAAGAGTCACCAAAAAATAAAACAATACAAATAAATTAGCACGGCTGCTTTACAGCATAATCCAGAACTTAACATTTCCAGTGTGCTTGGTTGCTGTTGTTGTCGTTGGTCGTGGATTGCAGAGCAAATGGAAGATTTAAACTAACAGCTGGTGAGTTGGACTAGTTTGGACCCAATCAGGTGGACCTGCAGCACACAGGGAACGTTGGCTAACATTATCTACAGCTTCTAATGATGTTTGAAGGAAAACATTTTATTCTAATGTTCAGATAACATTTTAGGATATTTATCATTTTTTTAAAAAAAGTTCCTATGAGGTTAAAATTTAAGGAAACATTTAAACATTTAGAGGACGTTCAGAGAAGGTTGTCAGATGTTCTACAAAAACAAAGTAAGAACGTTCTCAAGCCAACATTAAAAAAAATCACAGAGTGTTTTTATTCCTGTAGTTTCATATATTAACAAATGTTAAGGAGGACGTTTTGGAGATGTTGCTGATGAGAACGTTTGTAGAAGTCAATTATGTAATAACAGTCGATGACGAAATAAATTTCCACTTTTTAAAATGTAATAGGCAATAACGAAACAAAAATCCCTGACCCGATAACGAAATATCTTTTGGTCAATAACGTAATAAGTTATTATGTCATTGGCCTGGTTAAAAAATAATAAAATCTTTGCAAATTTAATAACCAGCCAATAACGTAGAAACTTATTATTATAACTTTAGAACATTAATAGCTTATATTTTGTTAACGTTATAACTTTTAGCCAACAACTTATTACGTTATTGGCCTATTACATTTTAAAAATGGCAAATTTAATACATTATTGGCTTCTACAACGTTCTATAAAACATTCCTGCAACATTACACAATAACAAAGGAAGAACATTCTCAATGCAACATTTGGAAAATGTTTTAGGAATGTTTTTCAAGCATCTTTAAAGAACTCTATCTGGCTTCTAAGAAGAACATTCTGGGAACTAAAGGAAAACCTCCTGCTGCAAACATTAACTCAGCAGAACTTCTGCCTGGACTGACCAACTGGTTCAGTCCTCCAGAGTCCAGCCCGGTCCACTGCTGCTGCACACAGTTTCCTATCAGTGCTCGTTCTGTTGTCACTGTTCTGCCCTCTCTGCTCTCTTCATAACACATTTCTACTTCCTCTGTCATAGCGTCGCACCCCGTCATCTCCAAATAGGACGATTATTACAGTTACTGGAGACGAGCAGCGCCAGCGTGTTTGGTCACATGCTAGCAGATCATTACCGCCGTCTAGACAGTCCCATCACTGCCCCCGATTGGTGCTCCGGTCCTGATTTATAGCTGATTAGCAAAGGACAAATGTGGCAGGATGTGTATCACAGGGTCATCTCCAGTTCTTCATTTACATAGAAGGCTGCCGTTCTTCCAGACGAGCTGTTTTTCTGCGACAGCGCCGTCATACGAAGCCCAAACCACAGTCCGCTCGGAGCCATCCGAGGCCCGGCTTTCATGCGCTCAGCTGCGGAATGCGAGGAAATTACTGATTTCAGGGTCGGAGGTCGTGACGTGTCCCAGATACGCATCAATAACCAGACAAATACTTTGAGGACACATAATTGCACCGTGTCCAAAACACACAAAGTCCTCCACTGTCTCCACAACTGGCTGAACAGCATGTATGAACAGCATGTATGACCGCGGCAGAGCCCTCCGGCCGGCGCAGGAGTCCGGCCGACTGCCTTAAACAAACCGGCTCTCCCCGGCGGCGCTCCGGTGGATTCGGATCACTTTTCAAAACTTGGCCCGAGTGTTTGTGCTGTTGGTTTGCTCACTTGTTTGATGCTATTAATGGGAAGTTTAATTAAGTGTGCCGAGGGTGTGCAGTTAAAAAGAGGTATTGATAAACGGTCACCATGACTGTCTGCCTGGGTTAATTGAATATCGACTAATCCTCCGCACACTGGACTGCTTTCCATTTTTTCTCAATAACAAAGTGATATAATGCCGCGCTCAACTATTTATACAGGTATTATCAGGGGCTTGGGGAAAATATCCACTCCACTCCACTGGACTCATGGTGTCCATCAAATAGAAATGGAAAAAGAAAAATAGTGTGCAGGCCAGGTGTGTCGACAGTGCACAGGTTTATGTGTGAACAGGAGGCTATAGGAGTATTTTCTTACAGGGTGTGTGAGGAGGAGTGTTATTTGAAATCAGCGTCTATTCCTCGCTGCTGTGGAATATGCAATTATGAGAAAATGGCTTCTCTTTGAGAGATGATGTGAGAGCAGGAAGACCCATCACACAGCGAAGGAACACTTGACTCTCAGACCTCAGCAACGTGTCAGTCTTCCCACGTACAGCAGCTGCTGGAGGGTTAAGCTTTCTACATCCACAGGAGTGGAGTGGGTGAGAGGAGACGCTGTTCTCTGTGAGAGGAGAGTGGACGGTTAATGAAGACATGTGGTAGGACCAGGCTGGTGTAGTAACGTCTCTCTCACTCACACACCAACAGCTCAGGTAAAAGCTGCAGCTCAGGCACACCAGCTCACCTACAACCACTATAAAACTAGGACTACACAACACAGTGCTAAGGTGTTGTACTGGTGTACCGTAATTATAAGCCCCTACTTTTTCCACAAGCTTTGAACAACGATGAGGCTAATTTATGGATTTCTATGAATTCACCTCGAGACCAAAGTGAGGCTGAGAGCGACGACGACAGAGAGACTGAGGAAGTGATGAAGTGATTCTGAGGCTGTTCAGCTCCT